TTCCGACGGAAAAACGGAAGAATTTCAAAAATCCTATAGATTCGATCCAAACGACTTCGAATTATTCCTACGCTACATTTAGTAGCCCGAAAGAAAATGATAATGTATAAAAAGTGCAGAAAAGATGCTAAGCCCGAATTTTCGATGGCCAAAAATAGAATTTACTCAAAAACCTAAACCAAATTTAATGCGCGAGTATACTTCAGCTTAACCTACCGTGATCTGCTTTTGAATCGTTAGAACTGCTGAAAATGAAATAATGAGAACTGAACACCTGCAGATTGAGTTCCCCTATGAACAAATAGTTTTGGATTATGCAGATATAACGAAGTAAATATTAATATTCGTTTCAACAGAATAAACTTTGTCTATCTTTACTCTTTGTTAATTTATCTTATAACTTTTTCCTGAGAAACTGTATTTAACTTGTAGACTAAAAGACTCTTTGAGTGGTGATGAGTGGGTAAAGAATGAACAAAATTACATGACACTATTTACAAATCTTCTGGCAGAAGAATTGTAAATAGTATTACAATAACATGTGGAAGTTTGCGCTTGCTAAAGTCAACTCTTACTTGGTAAGGGAAGGCGGAGGATAACATTTTTATTGTTTAAACATTTTTATTTGTTTTAAATCTAACCGCAGGTGCCCTTCAAATTTTAAAACATATGAAACATGGCGATTTCTTACGTCAAAACATCATGCTCCGGACATTCTAACTGTTTTTTTTTCTCCTGGATTACCGTCACCTGCTCACTTGAAGTATTGTCGTCTATTTATAGCTTTTAATTTTTTGTCTTAGTCTAGCGAATACTTAATTTCTCCTCCCACTCTACTCGATATCTTGAGATAACAAAATTGTGTAATGTGTTATAGTGCGACATATTGTATGATAATTTTGTTATCTCAAGATCTCCCACTACTTACTTTTTATTCTTAATACCGTCTATATCATTAACCTCTTTCTTTTCAATCCTTTTTTGTCCTTTTTAACTTATCTCTTATCTCCAAAGGAAATTTTATCCTATAAAATTATCATTTTTCATGAATCAATTAACATAATTTGTTTATTCGACATTCAAAACGATTTTTTAAAAAATATTGATTCTATTTCTCGGTGGTTTTGTGTATTGATATGACCATCCATCAAAAATAATATTCCGCCTCACTGGGTTTAAGCGTCTTCGCAAAGCCCATCGCGGAAAAGAAAATCCCTGTTTTCCAGGCCTTTCTCACTTTCACAAGCAGGGGATTTCACATACCATAAACGGATTTACCTTCTTACAAATCCTTTGAAATGCTCAGATGAGTAACATAATACCGATAATTCCCCCCTCTGCGGAGGAAAAAATGTTTCGTGGATTTCGGAATTTTACACTTTGCGTATTTGTTTGGGGTCGTTGCCGTACAATTTCCGTTCGCGATGCCACTTCATTTACTATAAGTTAAAACCTGTAAAGCCCCCATTTCTATCTATGTTTTCAAAACCGTACAATCTCAAACTTACACCGAATATTTATTTATCTCTTGATGCTCTCAACTTCACTTTTTTAATGGAACGTCCTGTATATTTTTTGCCTAAAATGAAAATTCTTTTAACCGGATTTCAAAAATTTATTTATTATTAGACGCTTTTGAAACAACTAGAATTTATTTTTTTAAAACAAAATTAAGTTATCACCATTCTAATTACCTTGGAGAACAAAACATTGTTTATAACTTTAACAATATTTCCACCCGATAGCTTGTTGCTAGTATAAAATTTTCACAAGATTCAGCTATTTCATTCAGTATTTCATTTCATTTTTTCATTTCAAAATATAACATGAAATAACAATTTTACAATATAATATTGAAAACATGCAATATACATAAAACATATAGCAGAATACAAAAAATATAAAGCAGGCATCTAGACATACATTAAAGCTGAACGAAGATTTTCAATGCAATCGTCTGACTAGATATAGTTATCGATATCTTGAAAAAAGATAGACTCCTCCAAGCGGTAAGGATTGCTTTATTAAAAAGTCCTTGACAGAGTTTTTGAACCTGTTTATTGGGAGTTGTTTTGTCTCTGCCTTAAATTTATTTAAAAAAATGGATGCAGTAGTAATTTGAAACTAGCCTATATCCACTTTAAGACGGAAGAAATCAGAAATGAGGTTGTCCCTATTCTTGCAGCAATGGGAGCCTGGCCCCAGTTTAACAGACCATAAAGCTATTGGGACCTAATTAGATTATGATATGCTTTCAATAATATGCTACAATCTACAGTGCCCTTTAAGCTACTTATCACAAAAATGTTTTTTAAGATTTTTTAGCCATTTGGTGTTTGTGGTGACACAATTTAGTTTAGGCAGTTTGTTCATTATTCACTTCGTGCCTTTGAGAGAAGATTAAAGAAACTATTTTCCATTGGTTTAGGGTTGAGCTATTCTTTGTGTACCAGTCCTTAGCTCTTGTTACTTTCCAAAATCGATGAAAGTATCTGCGCTCGTATAAAAATTTTATATCTCAGTAACGGTAAGTCCTACGGGATCGCCGTTGGTATAGAAATAACTTTCGAACCATTGGAGCTACAAAATTGAAATTTGCCTTCTTTTCAACCCTCCACGAGGCACATAAGCTTGTAAGAGATGGCGGCTCTGATCCGACATCGATATCCATCTTTTTTTCCCGATTTTCGTCTGTTTTTTGGACCTTGCTATGAAACACGATAAGTGTCCCAAGTTTGAAAGTTTGAAGCAATCACAGCTTTGCCCCATGGCGGAACCTATTGAAAATGGGGGGCTGGGGGTCGGGAAGTATTCTAAAAAAATAAAAAATTGCGCGTGTAAGGGTCTACAAAAAACATCATTTTTCAAAAACTGTTTACGAAACCAAAAAAATTCTTGAAACAGACGAAGCAGAAGATACGGCTCATAAACTTTTATTCGCGAAAATTTTTCAAAAATATATAGGGTGCATTTTTTCGAATATATACAGGGTTTCAAATTGTAGGCAAAAATCTAAAAGACCTAGAAAATTGTTTTTTCACAGAGTAAATTATTATCCGCAAATCAAAAATCGTAAAAAATATGGCTAATTGGTTCAAACAGTGTCATAGGCCGCATCAAGAGCTACAATTTTTGTAGTTACAGTTTTCGTGGATCACATACGCTGCTCGGGATATTTGAAAAAATTTGAAAAATTATTACGGCGCACTGCATGGTTTCAGAAAAAACTTATTTTCAAGACACGCGGAAAATCCCTCTACTTCGATCACATACAGGGTGTGTCCTGTGTGGTCACAAAATCTAAAATATCTTAAAAATTTCTGTTTTTGTGGCTAAATTGTTGCCGATAAATGAAAAACCGTTAAAGATGGGATAATTTAATTTGAACAGTATCGTAAACAGTAAAGAGTTACAGGTTTCGTCAATTATACAGCGCGGGAGATATTTGAAAAAATATCATTCGACAACGCTCTTATTTGTGCAAATTTTGATATTTACCGATGGTTGTTGTAACTTTCAAGTTCGACGAGATGTCAAGAACATTTTATACAGGGTACATGCACAATTAAAACACATCGATTTTACTAAAGTTCCATAGTGGTCCGCAGGAGCATGATAGAAAAACGATGCGTCCCTTTACCACACGAAACAGCGAAGTTCTTTGCTTATATAATAAAAAGCTGCTTTGCGCTACGCGCCACGAACTTGCTGATGATTGAACGATGTTTCGAAAGCAATCATGTTAATTCAGAGTTTGCTTCAGCAAGTGTTTCAGTACGCTTTCTTTATTTATTAAGAAAGTAGTGTAATCCGCAAACAACGCCAGGCAATCATTCAAAAGGGCTTCAGGAAGGTCGTTGATATATATGAAAAAGAGAGTAAGTCTCATTGCTGAGCCCTAGAGAACCCCATTTATCACTGGTAATATTCTCGAGGTTTTATTGTTATAAACAACGTATTGTTCCTTTTCAGCCAGAAATGACCCAACTATTCTTCGGCTGAAGATATCAAAATTGTAATATTCTTTTTTAATAGAGTGCAGTGGTCCACAAAGTGGATCCCTTTAGCAATATTGTAGAATGTAGCAATCATAAAGTTGCCTTCTTCTTGTCCTTTTACTATAGTTTGGTCCTAGCAGAGTCGGTTGATTTACCCTCCCTTAATCCATATCAGTAATTTCCCCACCTATATGTATGGGAAAATTTGTTGATATTTTTAAAAATTTAGGTACATTCTCTCCTTGAGAAATGATTGAAAATCTTCAAAACTTTTGAACAAAATTATTTTTACTGATGTTCGACTCCGCCAGGTATGTTCAACGCTAGTTTTTGAAGAGACTTTGACGTGCTAGACATCATACTGTCAGCAATATATGTGACATCAGGATATACGACCACGACCCCTGATATAAATTTTCTTGGCCAGGAATTATTTTAATGAAAATGAATTGATAACTAAATATTTACACTTAACAGAAACCATTTCGTAAATAAGTTAAGGAAAATCCTGTACAGCTACGAAGTAAACAATGGAGATCACGTTCAATTTGTAAATAATTATTATTTTGCGTTCCTGAAGACAATAAATATGAAGAAAACATTAAAAATGATTGTTGTTATCTTTACGGTGATAGTTGGAAGATAAACCATCAAACAATTTTTTTATTAAAAGTTTTTTCCTAGCCCTTTTGATAAATTCTGTTATGTGGGTGTCAAAATATAAATGGGAACCCTAAACAGTAGGTCTTCAAATTAAAAAAAAAACCATTTCTAAACTAGATAGAGTAAAATCGACGATTTATGGCAAATATTTAATGGTAAAAACTTCATTACCAACCAATGTTATTATCAATCATTTTGTAAATAACTAATCATAAAGTTACGACTTCCTTGTTCCTTCCTTCCTGTTTGTACCCGTCATAAAAAAATATCGGAAATATAACTCATCTGTCTGCTTTCGATATTATATATAAAAAATATAATTATTAAAAATTGTTTCAGGCGGTTATTACGAAATCGAACGGAAGTCACACAAACTTCAAATCGTGGTCCTGAATACAAACCTGATGAAACGCCCCGAGGAAAAGGACGAGGACGCTATGAGGCAGTGGGACTGGCTCGAGAATGTGCTGGAAAAATTCAAAAGAAGTGGATTAACGGTGAGTAATAACATTATATTGTCGGCCATTGTTATCTCACGTATACGGTTCCGTTCGCCCTTTGTGGAGAATTTAATTTATTACTTGTGTACTTCGTTAAAACCGAAGTTACTTTAATTGTTAAACTAGTTCTTGTTCTCCGGTCCGTTCTACTTTCCGAAACAAAAAACTAAATGAAATAGCTGAAATTGAAAGCCTTTTAACAAGAAGCGCCATCTAGCTTGGTGGCCTAGAGTGGCAGAAATATAACAAGCACGTGAGTCGTTATTATCAGGAACGCGATAAATCGTTAATTAAAGGAAAGGATTTTCTTGTAATAATACGATGTTCCAACCAATGAAAATTTCCATTTTATAAAAGAAATATTTTTTTCATTGCCACCCTGTTGTTTGAAAACCAGGTACAGATTTTTTTTTTATTTTAACAAGCCGCGTACAACAGTCGACCAAGCAAGATCAAATGTTGTTCCCCATAGAGATTGAAGACATTACTTTGTCTAATATAAAGTCATATAAAGCAAAAGTAGTCTTTGAAGTTGCAAGTGTAGACCACGATAAGTTTAAAGCATTATTTAGTCAGAAAATATAAAACACAATCGAATCATTTCAAGATATAATAAATGTCCTTTTTACATGTATGTAAAAGTTATCCGATGCCATGAAAGCAATAAGTGTATAACCAAGGAGCTATTGGAATTAATTTTAAAAAAGGAAAAAAATATTTTAGAAAACAAGGTAACAAACAATATTAAAACTTTTAAAAATCAATACTTTGGAAAAAAATGGTGCGATAAACAATCAAATGGCTGATCTGGTACAAACTGGCCATAATCTCCAATTTAATTAAATTTATTGTAATAATTCAATATTTTTGGATCTGTGTGTTGAACAGGAAAAATTGTATTGTAACTGCAACCACATTAGATCAAAATTTAAAATTCTAACTCTCCAAAAATAAATGAACGCAAACAGACCTGTTACTGCTCCACAAAATTTTAAACGATCAATCGATTATCAAAGATTAACCTACGAATACCAAGGCAGAACGCAAAAGACAGGGTTCTATTTGATGTCCACCACTACCGACCAACATAGGGCAGATCACTAGATTTGAAAATAAATTTAATTTTCATAACTGCTTTCTTGATGTCGATATTTTTGTTACTCCCACTTAACCTGTTAAATGCAGGGTGAAAAAATATTTTCTAGGACATAATACGACATAGAACACCCTAATTAAAATGTAAACTTATACTAGTCTTTATATTATTATATCACTGTGCTGATGAGTGCCACAATTTAGATTTATTAGTTAACCTATCTTTCTAATATACAACGGGGATGCTTTTATTAGTACTTTGTACTGTACGTGGTTGCGTAGACAATTTAGGTAGGTTACCTAAATTCTCAATAAGTAAATAAACAAATAATAATTCCCTCTCTCTCTCTCTCTCTCTCTTATATATTGATTCACGGATGGAAAAATGTGATGACACTATATTCCGGGATATCATCCGTTCGCTCGTTGAACTCCGACTGGAATCCTGCAGACGTTTCGCCAAAATCTCATTTGGCATCTTCAATGCTCGCGCTCCGAAAAAAGTGTTCGTACTTAATAGTACTCCATGCGGAAAAACCATTAAACATTGTAGTAAATAGTGTGACGCCGAAAAGCAACAGAATATTTTAATCTAAAAATTAATATGGTTTATGTTCCTTTTTCCCGCTTCCCTAACGGCACATTGACGTTGTCATTTCGCTCGCCCCACTAATCCAATCTGTTTAATAAAAAAAATACCCTGCGATATTAGAACTCACTTTTGTTCCGTCCCTCCTCATTTGCGCTCTGCTTTGTCAAACCGATTAAGGCGAACGTCAAAATTGTGAACGATCCGCAAAGAAACGCAAGTAAACAATATGAGGGACCCCGTTTAAAACGACTTCCCGGGTTTGAAGTAAAAATTAAGCCTTATCGGTTTTTCTTTTGTACGATGAATATAAAAATAACTTTGACGTGCCCCGAAAAACAATAATACGCGCCGTCTTTTGTCCTTTTGTCAGTAATTGATCTCCAGGTTGTTGAATTTCTCGCTGTGTTGAATCAGTGTTGTTTAGAGACGTCATCTAACTAGAAGTTATATCTGGACCTAGTAAAGACTGATCACTACACAGAGAAATTTTTCCCTGAGCTGAATTAAATCATTTTAGCAAATTAATTACAAGAATAAAATTACGTTCACAGTAGTTAAGCTTTTGTTCAGACAAAATTGATTATATTTTTACTTTAATTGTCTTAACTAAAATATTTAATTCAACAATGCACAATTTTGTGAATTATATTCGTATCAGGCCAATAAAATGTTGCTGAAATTTTCTACAAACCGAAATTAACAAAATATGTATTATATTCTTCATTCCCTAAATTAAACAATTCCTAACATGACATACGTTTAGTATTAAATGAAGTATAAAAATTATTGCTTGGAATAAAGCAAATTAACATTTATTTGCCTGCAATTAAATCTCTAATTGCCATAATTCCCTGGAGCATAATCTTTTTGACGCCTGTAACCATTTTTTTTTACATTCCGACGGAAACAGGAGCCGACAGGCTGCCGGACTCACATCGCCATTTGTATTGCGGCCATGTTATAGGCTGGTTGTGAATGTGGATAATAGATAAATTAGTATTTGAATGGGGAGGGGAACGTCTTGTTCTGGTATTGCAAAGAATGTAAAATAAAATTATTTGATACTTATTAAAAATTACAAACCTAATATTGCTGAGTCTAGAGAACCTATTGTTCTTCAAATAAGAAGAAAATAATTTTAAATTATGGGTTATTTTAGACATCTGCTCAGATAGAAGAAGCTATAACTGCAAAAAAAGAGAAAATAAGAAAATATGACAACTCTTTACCATTGTAGAAGCTCCCACAGTTACTAAGGTTGCACTGTACATTGCTCTTACTCTTGCAGATTGCTCTCTGTATATTGTAGGTTTTAGATCATCGTGTACCACAACTTTTTATAAAGAATGTTTTTTTTTAATAGGCAATACAAAAGTTGCCCATATTTTTCCGAAATTGTAAAATTACATCGGAGATAGAAGGACCTCTGAAGAAGCTCGCCACTCGTGCTAGCGAAACGTTAGGAAGTAATTCCAACCAACGACGGCCTTTAAACCCGAATCAAGATAATAGCTCATCAACGGGCCGCGAAAGCCTTAACCAATTTATCAAAACTCTATTAGTTGTTTTGACTGTATCTATTTTAGGCGTTTAGTGATAAAATCGATCAATAGAAAAACTAACATAAAAGTTAGATTCAAAAATTTACACGCGTTGTTGAGAATTCGCGAATCCAATCGCCCGTGATATCCGATAGTACGGAGTAGAAACAGAAAAAAAAACGTCCCCATAAAATCTTATTTATGACCAGTAAACCATAGCCTGCGCATAACCATTAAAAAGTTATCTCATTTCCTACGGCTAAACTCTATAAATTCTTGTATAAAACATGCAACAATCTGCATTAAGGAAGTTACATAGGGCACATATACCGAACTTCCGCAGGAAATCCTTTCCGCAAACGGATCAATAAGGATCCCCGCTATGACAGATTGCGTATCGACGAGCTAATATCGTTTTTTGCCCTTGCTCGGAAGGACATTAAAACTTGCAAGAGCGAAGCAAATGGCTGGTATTAAACGGAAAAGAAGGACCCGTGCCAAAATTCGCAACTTCGAAAGATTTATTAATATGGATGGATGTTTACCTAAACTATTCGACTCCCACACACATGTAAGGGTTGAAATAAGGTCGACGTCACAGATATGTAGCGGGAATAAACGTCTACTATAACGTCCATGAAACTCAATAATAACTCATTATATAATTCAAAACTGGACTTAACCTGACGACACCAGGGAGAAAGCATTCGACAGAGATTGCTTTATATAAACTAACACAGGTTAAGGAAGTTGTCAGGGCAGTATTAGCAATGTCAGAATTGCATGAGGTTGCTAATGGGGCCCCCAAGAATCAATATTTGGCTTCCTCCTTGGAGTTGTTTCTTAAACTCTCCAAAACCGACCTATTATGCTAATGGAGTTAGAGCTATAAAGAAAGTCCAAAGAAGGACCACAGTCTACCGTCGTTAAGAGACAAAAATTGCCAAACTTATTAAATGCTTGATGGAGTCATCAAAAATTATTAGTTGTCATTGCAAGTGTGACCTATTCCAGTTTTCTGAAAATAATGAGAGTTTTCTAAAGAAAACCAAAAAAGCGATTAACATTTATATTCTGAATAATAACTGGAGTCTTCAGAATGGGGAACCTGTTTTTACTAACAATAATAGTAATAAAATAATAATAATAATAGTACGTAAAAATAAATTATAATATAATAAGTATAATAACTATCAACCTAAATAGAACAAGTTTCGCTAAACTCCACTTTTGTCTGCCGCACTTATTACTAAGCACTAAGCACCATTGCGGACAGCAAACAAAAGCATTCTTAATTCTTTGTCCTTTGTACAAGCATTAACTGTCACAAAACAACCCCCCGAACTTAAGCGACTGTAGCCAAATTCTTTAAGCCTCATTTGCATGCCTGATAATTTTCCATTTATTCAAATTTCCCGGCCGAAATTTTCCCAACAGTAATTAAATCACCAGGAAAATTAAATAAAACAGCGAATAGGTTGAGCATTCTCGTCGAGTACGAAATGTTTTCGAATATCGGATAAATATTCTTGGCAGGTTTTTTAGAATTTTAGAACTTCTCATTATGCGAATATTTTCGTAGGTCTCAAAAACTCTTAAGGCAAATATAAAGAAAATCATAAATAATATACGTTTATTAGATAATTTTTAGCGTTTTGAGGTACAGAATGGTAGGCCTAGACCGTCGTGAAGAATAAAACTTATTTTATCTATCTATATAATGAGTCCAAGATGAGGAGGGCCACTGAGATATTTTGGAGTAAATGGAG